TCAGGGATGCTCCACCCCAGTTAATGCCTCTGCCTTTATTGCAGGGAGTTCCTGGCACAAAAATAAATCACACAAGCGCTGAGATCCTGGGCTGGCTGGTGTGTGAGCTGGATGGGGACTACATCAGGAGTTCTGGGGGCAGCTTGCTGAAGGATTTGAGCCAGTGTGGATCTTTCCTGCCCGAGCAAGAAGAGGCCATCAGGGACGTCCTCAGCAGTGGCAACACCACCTTTGGGTATGGCTTTTCCTCCTGGGCTCTTCCCTTAATCAACCCCATGGTCCTGTTAAGGCCTGAGTGCACTCCAGCCAAGCAGCTTGATCAAAAACCCAAAAAAAATCTTAATTTTGAGCTTTTCACTGGGTCTTTTATGTTGTTTGGTTGAAATTATTTCAGCTGAAAGGCCTGGGTGAAATTCTCCTGAAAAATGGGCTCACTTCTGTGTCTCTCTTGCTCGTTATAAAAGCTTTTCCTCCGGTCTGCAAAATTAATTTTTCATTAATCAAACTTCTCTGCCTGGCCTGGTGATCACAGGTGAGGTCAAGCTGTTTGTCAGGCACAGGTTTCCAGGAGACATTCCGCCTGTCCAGTGAGAGATGTTTGATAAATATTGTGATAAATATTTTTCTTCCTGGTTGCCCCAAGATCTTGGCACTGAATTGGGCCATAGCAAGCAACAGAAATTCTTCAGGTTCCAGAAAGAGCCTTAAGAAAAGAATGTGTTTGTTCAAGGCCGTTTTTCCACCCAGCTGCCCTGATTTATGTCCCTGACAGCTTCTGCTCTGCTGCAATGACATTTTGTGTAACAGGAAGTGGTTGAGGTGTTTTCGGGTTTAAACCTTGTGTTTTCTTAACGTCACATGTTGCAAGGATGTAATCCTGGGAGATTTAAAGGGGGTTTTTCAGTTTTGTTCTTCCTTGAGACCTGATACCTGCTAATTTTCATAGTAGCTTGCATTAAAGGTAGAAATGAGACAGATGAGACATTGTTTTTTGTGTAGAATAGCTGAATTTTTATTGTATATAGCTCATTTTTATATGATATTAGAAGGTACTGTTTTGAATTTAACAGGTTAGTAAATTATTAAAACTCAGTGGATTGGTTGGTAATGGTTAGTGTATATGTTTATTAAACTTTCCTCATTCTAGATAGTTTATATTTTTTCTTTATGGATTTTTATGGGATACACTTCTTATTTTTAAAAGTGCAAACCGCTTTCTTACAAAAATAGGTTGTTATGTAAATTGATTTTTATAATTCTTTTCCTATGGGAATTTAATAGATTAATATGGAGTAGTAAGGTTCAAATTATGTCTATAAGGCTGTTCTTTTATAAGGTTTTACTTATTTGCAATATATTTTTGTCTGCAGGCCTCCTTCAGCGTGGTCAGCCTTCACCCTGAGCGAGCTGAGCGGGCTGATCCCCGTGCTGGGTCCCAGCATCCTGCAGCAGATCCCCAAGGTGGGCTCTGCCATGGCCTGGGGACCCTGGGGATGGGCTGGGGGCTGCAGGGCCAGCCTGGCTCCAGCAGTTCTTCCTTTTAAAGCACCTGGGGCCAGAGGGATGGGGTGTGGGAGGAGAGGGTTTGGGGAGCTGGGGGCTGGAGCAGAGGCTGGGCAGAGTTAAAAGAATAAAGCAGGGATTTATTAAAAGGCCTCAAAGGATTCACCTTGGGCAGTACAAGGGCCTGGCTGTGGCTACACCCAAGATGGACAATGGGTCACGAGTTCTCACACTTTGATAAGCTTTGGTCCATTTCCATATTGGGTTCATTGTCCGATTCCAGCTCAGGTTCTGCAGTCCCACCCTCCCAGTTTGCTCTCCTCCATTCCCTGTTGTTTGCACTTTTTGGGCCTGGAGCTGCAGCGGTGGCCTTGGTTCTGGGGCTGGACAAGGATTGTTCTGTGTGACTGAGCTGTGAGGAGAACTGCTGACACTTTCTGTGGAGTTCAGAGTTATTATATACCAGTGCCTTCCAGAATCTGGGAAAGTTCAAACTGAAGGCGTCAGGGCTGACTGGTTGGAACTGCAAATCCAGGTCACTTAGGGAGAGCAGGAATAACTCCCAGTGCTTTGTGAGGAGCTCCAGTCACTGCTGGGTTGGGGGAAGGGGAAAGTTCAAACATTGAAGGAATTGCTTTTGGTTCAGGATCTTCAGAGCCCGGTGTGTGAGGAGCAGGGGCTGTGCTGGAGGCACATCCAGCATTCCCAAATCCCCCTGATGATCCCTTTTCCTTGCAGAAAGCTGTGACCACCTGGCTGAGGAACTTTGCCTGGGATTCCCACCTGTCCAGGGAGGAGCTGGCCACGGTCATCGGGGGGCTCCTGCCCCGCCGGCACAAGCGAGCGGAG